TATAGGGGTTGGGGTTTCCCAAAATCAGGGGTACCCTTTTGGGGGTGCCCAAAATTAGGTACCCCCTATAATGGAGAATCAAATGGACAAGAAAATGGAATATGAAATGGAAACTGGGATATATAGGGGTACCCTTTTGGGGGTCCCCAAAATAAGGGTTGTAATATTGGGATCTATATTGGGGTCCCCCTATTTAGGGAAACTACCAGATCTTGGTAGCTGGACTTCCTCTGAATGCCCGGGCGTGTGTTGTGGTACTTGCGGCCTAGTGCAAGGAGCAGCAGAAGCCAGAGCCCGCAAAAGACAATTACATGAAGGAAGACAAAGTCATTGAGAAGGCCAGCTGCATAGCATCAGTCGTGTGGCTGAATCCAATTTAAGGGTGCTTCTGGATAAGGTCAGTCTTGGTGCTGGATCCACCCTGAAAGTGCAGTGCTTCTGACCTTATAGCTCCAAAGCTCAGGCTGAGGAGGAGGAGGCGACAGAGGAAAAGGATCCTAAGGACGGCTTCATCTTGGCTTCCATTTCATGTGAGAACTGTCTTAGATACAGATGTCAGCGCCCCGCGATACGGAAGAAGATGATTAACCCATTTTATAAGAAGAGCATGCATCTTCTGATTTGTCTAAAGGGGTTATTGCAGCTGCCCTGAATCTGGAGAGGAGCCGAAGGATGTGGAAAAGGCTGGCAATGGCACTGAAGATGGCGAGGACCAAGATGAGGAAGACGATGATGATGACGATGACCCAGGAGAGTTCATACTCATGCCTGAAGGCGGGGACTGGACAGAAATCAGGGCAAGTTGGGCATGTCATTTCAAAGTGGCTTCCCAAAAGTTGACGCGGCTGATCTAGTTTTGCACACCTCGAGGAAAGTGCGACCGAATTCTTTGGGCCCTGGGACTTTGGATTTATTGCCTGTTGTATTACTCTCTGCCAGAACCTTACCATGACTGTCAGCAATGCTGGGATCCATGGTTATAACCATAAATAACCATATTATAACCATATATAACCATAATATATTATAAATATATATATATATAACCATATATAACCATATATAACCATATATAACCATAATATATAACCACATCTTGGCGACTTGAGAGCCAAGGCCTTTGCCTAGGAAAGGCTCGAGGCTCTTCCTGGTGACCTTTGCAGGGTCACTGGTGTGGATCGGTCTCTTTGCCTTTTGCCTCGTCTGGTTGACAGACACCGCCACTTGGACCGAAGTGTCGTATCAAACAAAGTTTTTCAATCAAACTTTTTCTGCACATGTACACACATTTGCGGTAACCTGTGGTTTGGTCAGTGTTGGATTCAGGTGACGACGGTCCTTGGAGCTCAGACCTCAGGCTTCAGGACGTTCGTCTTCCAGCTTCTGATTTTTGAGATCTTGTGTCAGCGTAAAGCAAGTTTTTTGGTGCCTAGATACCCACCATCGTCTCTAGCGTCACTTTCCTGGCCGCGGCAACATCGATCCCGGACGCTGTCAGCTCCATGGCCGTTGCCCGAAAAGGACATGCCAGACTTGAGCAGGTCTTCACGACCACTTGTAGCGGAGGGTTGCTAATCTGTCAGTGGCAGGGTCAGGATCTATGCGGCTAGAGGCTTTCTAGTAGAGCATTCTTTGCGCAGGACAGGCAGATATGGCAGTTAGCTCGTCCGTGGGCTCCAACATTTTCGACATCCTAGCAGCTCAACTCGACAACTTTTTGACTTGCTTCTCGCTTGCTTTGCGCATGGCATGCAACTTGCAATGCCTCATTGAGGTTGGTTTGCCAATCCCTTGGCTGATCAAGTGCGCGCTGGAAGCGAACAACCCTGCGTTCAAGGGTGTCACTATCCGGTCGCCGTACCTGATGTTTTACACATGCGTCCTTCTTGGGATGGTGTTTGGTACGGTCATCAGTATCAAGCTATGCGGCTGGAAGCTGCAGAAAGCGCTTGGTGCATGCATGGCAGTGTTGTATTTCGTCTTTATCATCACCACAGTAGTGGTGGAGCTCACTAGACCGGCATGGCTAATGACAAATCCACCAGTTTAGAGGCCATCCGGTATAGAACAGGCTCCGAGCTCTGAGTGATTCTAGCAAAAGCAGAACTGGTGAACAATACGCAGAAGTCTGTCTTACAAAATTGTGAGCCGACATTGCTGAGCTTATGTGCCTCGGAACCTTCGCTTTCTGTTGCACATGCAATGTGGCAACTCGCTGTGTTCGACAGCATGTGATGGGGCCAGCTTAAAAGCAAAAAGCTGGTGCCTGACGAGGAAGACAACTATTCCTCAATCTTCTTTCAGGTGTTATGGACCAAAATAGTTTTGCAGCAGTGCTTCGCCTACTCGAAGTAGCTTGCATGCTGCACAAGAGCCATCTCTTGCGGCTCATCTGAAGTGGTTTCACCATTCAGGTTGGCGCGGATTATTCGTCTCACCACGTGCGCGCAACATTCCGATCGCCGAGCTTCTGCAACAGATCCGGTGATTGTAGCCTCAGCTGTTTTCATGTTATGTGTGAAAAAGGTCGGAAGAGGATGCGAAGATCCGGAATTGTCAGGTTGAGTGTGCTATATTTGTCCAATTCGCCCTTGACCTTCAATATCTTATGTATTTATGGGGTCTGTTCCCGCAGATGATCTGATATTCATTACTGGGGAGTATAATCCCTGATGTTTCCGGCGTATTTCTCCTCAATGATTGCAATGATGGCAAAGAGTGATAGGTGATAATGATATGACAATAAATTAGGAACATTCTTCACTTTGTTGATGTTCATATCCAGATATTTCCGGGCCTTTTGGCCTCTGGTGGGGCTTAGACCAGATAACCTCGAAAATGCCAAGAATTCCTGGGATTCACCGGGTTCGGAAATTCCAGGAATTTTTGAGGACCCCTGGATCCACATGCTGCATTATATTGACCTAGAACTTTTCGGGGCCAGGCCCCCATGAACGGCCAAGAGACCTGGTCTGCCTGTCAGTCTCTCTGTCTATTCATTTCTGTCTGTCTGTCTGTCTGTCTGTCTGTCTATTGGTCTCTGTTTGTTTGTATTCATGTCTGTCTGTCTGTCTGTCGGTCTGTCTGTCTGTCTGTCCGTCTGTCTGTCTGTCTGTCTCTCTGCCTCTCTCTCTGCCTCTCTCTCTGCCTGTCTCTCTGTCTCTCTCTCTGTCTGTGTTTCTCGGTCTCTCTGTCTGTCTTTATCTGTTTCTGTCTGTCTGTTGCGCTTTTTGTCTATCTGTCTGTTGTCTGTCTCTGTCTATTTGTCTGTCTTTCTGTCTGTTATCTGTCTCTGTCCGCTTATCTATCGGTCTATATTAGTCAACCTCTGTCTCTCTATCTCTCTGCTTACCTTTCGACTTATCTCCATTTGTATCCATCTGTCTTTGACGGCTAGGCTTAACTGTCTCGTTTGAATCTCTCTCTCTCTCTCTCTCTATTGGTCTCTAGATCTATTTCTATCTACCTCTATTTCAATCAATGCCGGTACTCATTCATACCCTTTTGAGGGAGTGATTTATCTATATGATTGTCTGTATCTATCTGATGCTATCTGGCTCTACTTTTTTATCTGCCAATATAATCGCTATCTGTTTGATTCTATCTCTTTATTTGATTCTATTTAATCTTATCCGTTGATTTATTTCTAGTTTCCTGAATTAGTCTATGTAGCTGGCTGATTCTACTTATTTGGTTGTCTGGTCGGACTACCTATTTGATCGGACGATTCAATCCTCTACTATATTTACTTATTTATTTATCAATTTGGTTGACTATTGGCTACATGTTTATTTGCTTATATTCTGCTTGCTCGATCATGGGGCAACTGAGTGTCTGTCCGCCCCCCACGATCGCTCATTTGATCGTTTCGTTCGATCACTCGCTCGTTTGCCTACTGCTTGTCAGTCTGCCCGCCTGCCCATCCGCCTGGTGGGATGGATCCCTCAGTAGAACCTCTTACTACACTCCCTGCATCTTGTTCTTTCATTTCCTGCTAACCACCCATAAGAAATTGAAGCTCTGCACCACGGATGCTGAATTTGGCGCGACTCTTGGAGCCAAGTCTGTTGGTTGTTGCTAGGCAAGCGATAGGCTTGAAGCAGGTCCAGCTGCCACAGCGCTTAAGCTTTGGCTGGGTGCTATTCGGATCATTACTGGGGCGGAATTTAGGCATTTAGATATTTTGTGCCCCTTGCCCTATTTGCCACTGAAGTTTTGACACATGCTTGCGCCCACCAATTTTGTCCAGTCCACACGTGGCTGTATGTCTCTGAGCTTCTCAAAGGGTTTCGATAGCCCTCCAAGTCCGATTCCTGTGGACACGGCATGGTACTAGCAAGATGCTGTGCGAAGGCATGCTCCTCAAATTTGTAGCCATGTGAATACTGTGGGTGCAGTCATGACGAGCAGACTTTTTGAGCATATCTCTGATTCCAACTACACGGCAAGGAAACGGTTGTTCGACCTAAAGCCATGGGCAGCATTGATTCGTGTGCTGCATGCCGCTCGTACGAGCATGTTGATCTCTGTTCGCGTGGCGTTGCTGAGCGGTCAAAGTGCTTGCATAACCGCTGGCGCGGAGTCTCTGGTAGAAGGGTTGAGGCAGACGGCACAGAAAGAGCTGGGTGTAGGGCTTTGCAGACTGATTTCCGATTCTGGGGTTGTTCTTCAAGGGACTGCTACACTGCTGGAAGCAGGGCTGCAAGATGGGGAGACCCTTTGTGCAATCGTTCGCCACACTGAGATTGTCTCCACGATTGGTGCATTTGCTCTCCTTTGTGCTGACGGGATGGTGGTGACTTGGGGAGATGCAGACTTCGGGGCAGATAGCAGTGCAGTGCAGGCACAGCTCCAGGATGTTCAACAGATCCGCGGGTCGGATGGCGCATTTGCAGCGCTCCTTTCTGATGGAACAGTTGTCACATGGGGAGACGAAGATTTTGGCGGCCAGAGCAGTGTGGTACAGGACAGGCTCGTGAATGTGGTAGAGCTTCGAGCATTCGGTGTTGCATTTGCTGCCACCTTAGCAGATGGTTCGACTGTCTGCTGGGGTAGCCCGAACATTCAACCGCAGCTGCAGCATGCCAGCATGGTCGCTGCATCCAATGGGGCCTGTGCCATCATTCTAGATGACAGCTCAGTATTTGCCTGGGGCCATGACGCCTATGGAGCTGACACCAGCAGCGTCAGCGAGCGATTGCGAGACGTGAGGCACATCCAAGCGACCTGGACGGGGGCATTCGCAGCAGTCTTGGGTGATGGAACTGTGGTCAGCTGGGGCCGAGCGCAAGCTGGGGGTGATGAATCGGCCGTGCGCGAGCAGCTCCGGGATGTGCGTCAGATCCAGTCCTCTGAGAGTGCCTTTGCAGCGCTGCTGGGAGATGGCTCCGTGGTAACCTGGGGCCATTCAGACTGCGGCGGAGATAGCAGCGCTGTGCAAGAAAGCCTGAAAAATGCTGTGCAAATACAGGCTTCTTGGAACGGGGCTTTTGCTGCTCTCCTCGCAGATGGATCCGTCGTGTCATGGGGCGACGCCACAGCAGGTGGGGACTGCAGCGCGGTGTCCAGACAGCTGAAGGAGGTTCAACAGATCCAGTCCTCGGGCTTCGCCTTTGCTGCCATCTGCGCCGATGGATCCGTGGTCACCTGGGGCGCGGACCATGCCGGTGGCGATTGCAGTTCCGTCCAAGAGCAGCTCCGGAACGTGCAGCAGGTTCAAGGCACCGCATCGTAGCAGCACATGTAGTGCAAGTTGTGCACAATGCCGATAGCAGAACTTTGTAGTTTGTCCTGGTGTAAGTTTTGTTTCCAACATGATGTTGGTGATGCTGCTTCTGAAGCTGCTGCTGCTATTATTCTCGACTATCCTTGACATGCTTGTCGCTGTTTCCCTGTCGGGCACGCTCCCATTGCAGTTGGAGCTACTGTTGCACCACCACCACCACCACCACC